TTCCTTGGGTATGGCACTGGTGGCAGATGAAGGCTGCTCAAAACTGCAGAGTGCAGCAGCCCCCAGTACTATTACAAGTTGTTATAAATAACATATTGCAAGTTGCTGTAAATCAAAGCAGACTAAAACCTTTTCCCTTGCCCCAGTCTGGTTTCTGTGTCTGTATGCCCCAACCAGGCAGCAATGAGCATCCCCTCCCTGGAACCCCTGCACACCAGACACCCTGCAGCAGGGACTTTTCAAACCCACGTTATTTCAGCGTCACCACTGATAAATACCAGTGTGCTTCGTTTATCTGCTGTAACCCTTGTGTTACTGCATTCATGCTACCAAGATAATAAGAATGTGTTGAATCATGACCCAGTTTCCAGTTTTCCAGCATTTCCATAAATGTAAAAGCCATTTGTTTAAAAAACTGATTTTCATGTTATTTGAAGGTGCTGAACTAGCAGTTCTGATGGAAAGTAAGCCAACTTTTTTAAAGCCAAATGCTGATATAAAACTTCCTGTGATTTCAGTGATTCAGCCTGGAAAACCAAACCACACACACAACCTTTCTGGTGCTAAAGATAAAACACTTAAGAATAAAAACTTCTGAATCTTAGTTTAAAATTAAATTCTACACATTAGCCACATATAGAGGTGACCATTTGAGTGGCTTCTCTTTGATTCCATGAAGTGCTCTACAGTTACATCTGACAAAATAAACAAGAATCCCAAACACTCCGAGGCTGAGCAAGCACAGAAATACTTTACCTAATTTGTAGTGGTTACAAAACAGAATTCTGACACCATTAGGATTTTTTTCAGACAAAAAGTACTTTTAAAATTTCTGTTTGAGGATGAACTAAAAATTCCTCTATTCTGTGCTCCAAGTGAGTTCATCACGTTTTCCTAATGAATATATTCGGGAGGCAGCTTTTTACTTTAGAATTAATTTTTCCTTAATTGCTGAAAGAGTACATCATCTGTATAAAACAAGCTGTCAGAACTTAAAATGTAGTGAAACTTGGCCAAAGCAGTCTTTTATATTCCAGCTGGCAAACTCACAAACCACAGAAAAGGTCTCAACCACCAAGTGGTTTGTATTTAAGATGCACAAAGGAAAAAAACTTGCATAAAAATACTGAAAAACAGTATAAAGCTGCTATGACTCCCATGAAACCAGTGAGAGCTGCTGGCTACAGTGTGTCCAGGAATAAACTACTGAGGACCCCTCACAGCTGTAAAATGGGGATAGCAGCCCCTTCCTGGGGGGAATGGGACCCAGGACCCATCCAGGCACTGAACCCTGAAGGGCTGCTGTGGACATGGAAGCTGGGACCAAGAGCACCCAGCAGTGCCTGGGGACACTCACGCACCAGAGCTCATGTGGCCATCCAAAGGCTTGGGGCTTATCACCAAATGCAGTGGTGCCACTTGTGGAGATGTTTATTTACTGTTGTTGTAAGTAAATATTATTATTGCTCTCAATTTTCAGTCTAAGTTTGAAATTAAAAATACTTCAGACAAGTTCACAATACTTCACAGGTGAACTGAGGAAGCGTGGTCTAGATGATCAGGTAGCGAGGTGAATTGTGAACCGGTTGAAGGAAAGAAGTCAGAGAGTTGTGGTCAATGGGACAGAGTCCAGTTGGAGGTCTGTATCTAGTGGAGTCTCCCAGGGGTCAGTACTGGGACCAGTACTATTCAATATATTCATCAATGACCTGGACAAGGGAACAGAGTGCACGCCCAGCAAGTTGGCTGACGACACAAAACGGGGGGGAGTGGCTGACACTCCATGGGGCTGTGCTGCCATTCAGTGAGACCTGGACAGGATGGAGAGTTGGGCAGAGAGAAACTTAATGAAATTCAACAGGGACAAGCGTAGGGTCTTGCATCTGGGAAAGAAC